GTAGGGGTTCCAAATAAAAGTCAGAACACCTAAATAAACTGAATGGCTTAACTTATACTTTCAAAAATGATTTTTTACATATAAATATATCCCAAATATTGGCTTTGTTGTGAATTAATGGAGAGTTGTTGCACAGGACGTATTTATAGTAAAAAAATTATTCATTGTTTATATGAAATTCAAATTTAACAGCATGTCTTGTATTTTTATTTGCTAAATTTGGCAACCCTAGACAGGAGGCCTTCCAGGTCTTGATTTAAGGACTGAGATTTTTGATGATGAAGGAATGAATCCTGATGGAGGATGGGAAGTTGGAGAATCATTAATCACTATTTAAGCTGGAAATTCTGAAGTTCTATGACCAGTTTTAAGCAGTTTAGTGGACATTGTGTGGGATTCTAAATGGAAAAGTCACCATACTGTGCCCCTGCTTTGCTCAAAGAACCATTTATCATTTGCTAGGTGGTAACTGCCAGATTTCTAGGTTTTCTGCCACTTTAAAACCCTTAATTGCATTTCCAGTGACCTGGCCAGATGACCTTGCTGGCCTGTGACCCTCCAGCCATTTGCTGAGCTGCTGCCCCTGTCACATCAAGCTTGTGATAGCAGATGTGAAGGCTATGACCCCTTCTTCCTTCATTTCACTAATGTTTCTTCAGGACCCACCAGGCACGAGGCATGGTGCAAGGCACTTCCGCTTAGCTGAGGGGCTTCCACCTTTATGACCCTCATCAATTCTTAGTCCTGTATCCCGTGATTCTTAAAATGACATCCCTAGACCGCTGTGTCCGTTACATCTGGCAGGTTGTTAAAAATGAGATTCCCGAGTCTCATCAGAGCTGATGAAGGAAAGGTACCTGGAAACTCCCCGGAGTGTCTTATGCTCACTTAAATCAGAACACCGTGGCTGCCAGTTCTTGGACCCCTCCTCTGTCCAGCTGTGCATGAGCCCAATGTGGGGCAGATTGGTTTCTACTCCCAGGAATTTCCAGAGTTGAGGCTGCCTCTCTTCTCTCTGAGCCTGAGCTACTTGCGGGAGATCTGAGGTACGGGGATATGTTAATGCTCCAACCAGCCAACCAACTTAGGCTTAATGGTTAACTACTAGGCTTAACTACTTATGGTGTAATGGTTTTTCTCTATCAGTTCTAGGAGAGAGGGGTGTTATAGGGACAAATAACAAATCTTGTCACTTCTTTGATTCTCCAGAAGGGGCGCCATGACACCATTTTTAAAATCTGAGAGTCCCTTCTCAGCGGACAGCACGACGCCTGCCTGGCTCGGGAGGAGCAACATTCCTCCCTGAAACAGAAGACCCTTGAAGACCAGGAGGTCTTGCTCATCATTTGGATCTCCCAGGATGCCCACTTAATGGTGTGGGATTCAGGGAGCACTACTCATCTTTTAAACGTAACAGATTTGGATAGGAATAAAAGCAATTCTACACAGATGGCAGTAGCGTGACTTGAGAACCCAAATCTTCTATTAATTCATGGCCTAGATGCACTTGCAACCCGGCTGCTTTGAGTACTCAGCACATGAAGGATACTCAGTAAAAACCGCTAAATACTTCCCCCCAGCAGTTGAAAGAATAGTATAATGAATATCTATTTAACCTTATCTAGAATCTAGATTCAGTGTGTTGATACTTTGCTATGGTTGCTCTGTGTGTGTGTGTGTGTGTGTGTGTGTGTGTGTGTGTGTGTATCTTTATTTCTGCTGAATCATTTGAAAGTTAATTTCGATCATCATGACAGTTAACCCATAAATATTTCCGTAGGCATTTCCACAGAATAAGGACATTCTCCTGTATAATTGCAATACCTTTATCACCTGTAAGAATAATTAACCATTATAATTGTATTATCATTTACTATCCAGTTGTAGAAGCTGATGTTGGTGCCCTACCCATAACCCCTTGGACAGCCTAGAGGTCACCTGCAAGCAGTTTCCGTACAGCAGGGGATTTCCTGAGTGTCTTTGCCTCCACACTCACTGATGGATGCAGAGAATGTACTCTCCCCTCCAAGGGCCAGCTGGAGGTGCTGAGGAGTCAACGCTCCAAGAGTGTCCCTCCACCAGTGATGTAGAGAAGTTGGTGGATAAATACCCAGGCTTCCTTCACTCTCATGAGTTGCTTCTGAAGTGTGTTTCACAAAGCTTGTCCGAGGGTCCTCAGCGACATTTGCCCACAGCACTGACCTATTTATTAACATACCCCTTATTGGTTTTCCTCCCTTCCTTATCTCACTTCATCACTGTGCTTCCTGAGACCAGCTTTAAATAGCTATGTGCGGACAAAGCTTTGTCTTAAGGTCTAGTTTGGAGGGATCCAGAACTGAGACATCAATCCTTTAAAAATGATAATATTAAATAGCCAGCTCTTAGGACCATAAAGAAGCAAACTAAAGCTTGCCTAGATGGTGCTGGGAGCCCAGCCGACAGGGACTGCTGTTGGTTATGATTCTTAGTGGAACAATGCTATAGTGAGCCCATGTTGATTTGTTATGTCCTGCGCAGCCTATATTAATAATAACAAAAGTCACTGCTTACTAAGGGCTTACTGTGGGGCCCTTCCCATGCCTCAGTTAATTTAATCTTCACAGGGACTTTGTAGGGAGGGCCTTATTATTACCCCCATTGCATTGACAAAGAACCTGAGGCCCATAGAGGTTAAATAACTTTTGGAGTCAGCCAGCCAGTAGGAAGCATATCTCTGATGCACTTAATCGATGTATTAAAATGTGCAAATAAGCATAAATAGTCTTTTATTCTGTTCTTGTATAATTGGGACAATAGAGCTTGCCAGATAAAATTCACACTGTAACAATACCATAAGCATACATATTTTTTAACTAATAAAATATAGTTATCCCCAGTTGCTGATTCTTGAAAGTGTAATGCAAGGGTTGCTCCATCAGGTGAGGCTCTCAAGGGGCTAGAATTTTCCCTTGTCACAGCTGGCTTGGTACAGCTTACACACTTGGGCTTAGGTTACCAGTGGGAAGTAATAGTTTTCTAGCGTTGTTTACGTTGTGTGAAATCTTCCAGTGTCTTGGCTGCTGTGAAAATCAAACGTCTCCTCAGACTTGCCCGATCACAGTTCTCAGGCTATCAGATTATCAAAGCACAGTCATCTAACTTAAGCATGACAATGTTCAGTGAGGTGAGCTACAAATTTTTGCATAACGTCAGGGGTTTTTTTGGAGCAATTACATCCTTGTTAGTAATATCTGTCCCCACCTCATTACTTAGGTATACATAGGTACTTAGATCATAAGAAGATGTCTTTCTTAATTACTGTCTTCTCTAGGAATCCATAAAGAGAAACAGACTTTGAACCCAATTTAATTATTTACTTGACCCTACTGTCATAAAGTGTTCAAATTCAAGCATTATAAAGATGGTAACAGGGAAAGGATTCATGGTTCTCAGACAGAGGAACAATTGGCCAAGGCACTCAGCTTTTCAAAGCTCAGCAGGTAAGTGGTAAGAGTTTTGTATAGAAAGTAGAGAGTCATGAAAATTATAAATATGCCAAGTAAGTGAAATTCGTTTTGAAAAGCTGCTGTCTTGGTGGGGTGGATGAGAAGCAGAGAAATCAGTCTTCCTCCTTAAGAAAGTGGCGTGCAGCCTGCCAGGAAGCTTAAACTTTCAGTTTCTATTGCACACCTACAGTGGACAGTGCCTGAGAAAACTCTATTAATGACCAAACTCTGAAATCATTGCTGTTACTACGCTATCAGAGAAATCTTTTTGACCAAATTGTGAAATTACAAAAGAATCCATTTTAGCACTAATTGCATCTTATTGAAAGATTGACATAGGCTTGCCAGCCAGAAAGGATGAGCCTGGCAGGAACAAAACTTGCTCCTGCCAGGACAGGCCTGGGGTGGGCAGAAGCAGAGTTGCCCAGTAAGGCCGTAGGTATGTGTCAGCTCTTGAAGGTTAATATTCGTGTTAAGGGGACAAAACTCTAAGTTGCTCAGGTCCGGGGAGTGACCAGAGACTGGAAAGGGTTAACAGTCACTTCTTAAAGGAAGAGGATACTAACCGAGGCAGTAGTGTATTTTGGAGCATGGCCTCAATAGTCCTGGGTCCCAATCCTGGCCCTGATACTGACTGCCTTAGGGATCTTGAGCAAATTATATAACCTCTCCAAAACTTTAGAAATGACCTCACAAGGGTTGTTAGGGGCTTAATTGAGATTTAAATAAGGTATGTGCAGTGTTTGGTATGGTGTCTGTTGCATAGAAAGCATTCCATGCGCGTTTCTACTATATTCATAGTGGTACTCTTGAAAGGAGGTAATAAATACCTGTTTTTTCTAGATGGAAGTGGAGAATATTTTAGGGAGAGAGATGGCAACAGCAAAGCACAGAAGAAAAAGAGGATTTTATTACTTATTATTTTTAGTCTTCCCTAGATGAAGCGGAAGGAGTATTACAAGGAGGAGAGCATTGGGGGATGGGGAAAGCAGAGATTAACGTGGTTTACAGAGGCCATGTTGCAATTGAATCTTTTCTAAGGTACAAACCATTTGGAATAGTCTCTAAAAACCCTCTATTAGCAGAGAGCAACTTTACAAAACTGATCCAAGAGAGGCTTTCAAAGCAAGATTTACTTTGTTCAGGAGGGAACGTCTGAGAATGAAACGAGTTTCTCCTGTGAAGATGTCATTCTCGGTCTCTCTGGGGAAAGCCGGTTTTACCTTCGCCAGCGCTGCCCTATAGTTGCCCTGTAACTTACAGCCTATTTCTTTGTGATTTTGTTGTTGTTGTCTTAAAAATGGTTTAATACTGAAAGTACTTTGAACTTAGGAGTCAGAACAGGATTGTTTAAAAACTAGATATAGTACCGTTGTAATTGGGATGACTCATCTGGGACTTCATTTTGAGTGCATAATAGACAAGACGAAGGTTCATAAACTCAGTGTCACCCTAAGTACAGAAACCACTGCACTCTTTCCCACCGGCAGATCTGACCGAAGTTGGTTAAAGATGGCACGGAAGGGCGCTGGCCTGAAGAGAGTGTGCAGATTTCTTCTGTTAGTGATTTCATTTCTGCCATGTGAAATGACAAGTAAGTTTATATTCTTTTTTTTTTTTTGCCTCTTTAAGTAAAGAAAAATTTCAGGTTAAAAATGATCAGCGGGCATTGGAAAAATCCAAATTGGAATGACTACATAGTTGGTATGGTTCAGAGTACAGGAGTCAGATAACATAATAAAAAATTAAATGGAAAATATTTTTATGGTTCTGACATTATAAGCAGGGTGAAGTATTCTATTCTCTCCAGAGCCACAGCCAGAATTTTCCTACATTTTAATGGGTTTTATTACTAATAATATTCAAAAGAAACTTCTGTTATTTATTTGAACATACCACTTACGTAAAAATCTTTCTTGCATTTGTTCCCCACCCCAATCTGGAAGCGCTTTTCCCCTCCATTTTAAAAACAATACATAGTCATTGTAAAATAAATTAGGAAATACATAAATGAATAAAGAAAAGTAAATGTCCCTCCAAATCCCATCATCCAAACACAACCATTCAATGTTTGGTGTATATTCTTCCAGATTAAAAAAAGAAACACTAGACAGCAATCTCATTGTTTTTTTAGTAGTTTACGTTTTTAAAGAAAAAGTTAATGTGTTTACAAAATTATTAACAAATATTATGGAGGAGGCAAATTTCTGGTCGCTAAAGTCATTTTTTACCCTTTGTTACTTGGTTCCAAACCAAGAAAGTTAAAATTGAAATTTGGTTATGTTACTATACAATAAATGAATTTTAAAAAATGAGAGATGAAAATAAAGTGCTATATATCCTGATCGGTCACCCCACAACAACTTGTCTATCCTCAAACCACAGCTGTTTAAATATCTTTTTATTTCACTCTACTGCCAGAACAATATTAAAATATCAGAAATGGAAGACCAAATTCTACTATCTAATCAGAAATATTCTCAAATCAGCTTTTTCCCATAGCAATGTTGATATACTTAGAGCAATTATTAGAGATATACTTCACATTCTGCCTATTCATCTAATGTTATAGCTTAAATATTTTTCCATTTTACTGTAGTTCTTTTTCCTTTGTATTTCCCCACTCCCATCCCCTTACTTTGCTACATCCAGCCCCTTGAAGTAAACAACTTAAGTCTGGTAAGTATTTCTCCACTTTTTTTCTCTATTTCCATCAATCTTATTCCATCTATATAGAGTTTTTTCCCCTATAAATGGAAAAAAAATTTTCCTCATGTGGGGAAAACACACTTTTCCTCATAAATGTGTGTGTGTGTGTAAATGGAGTAAGTCTGAACATACTATTTTCTAACCCAGTGGTTCTTAAACTTCACTGCACATTAGAATCATCTGGAGGCTTTGAAAAAAACCCAGTGTCCAGGTGGTGTTCCTATCAATTAATAAGAATTCCTGGGGGTGGGAGCAAGGCATTGATAATTTTTTAAAGATCTCTAGGTGATTCCCATGTGCAGCAAAATGTGGTAACCATCATTTTAAGCTTTTCCTTTTTTTAGTTAATAATGCACTATGGATCTTTTCCCTTGTAAAACCATATAGACCGATACAACTATTTTAATTTATTGCGAAGTATTTCATTGTATTGATATAACATTTATAGCCATTTAGATTGTTCACTCTTTCTTAAATAGTTTCTTTCTGCATTTCCAGGTTCTGTTTTAACTGTGAATGGTAAAACTGAGAACTTTATTCTGAACACTCGGATTGGCGCCGAAGAATCTCTGAAATGTGATGTTCAAAACCGCACTGGAGATGAAGGACTTCTCTGGTACCGAGAGCAGGGGTCCGTGGATTTGAAGGCTGGAAACAAAATCAATTCCAGCTCTGTCTGTGTGTCTTCCATCAGTGAGAATGACAATGGAGTCACCTTTACCTGCAAATTGCAGAGGGATCAGTCGGTGTCCGTATCAGTGGTGCTGAATGTCACTTGTGAGTAAGGGCAAAGAAGCTGCCAGTCAGTCTGTGTTGTGTGTGCTACATTAAGTAGGAGTCGAAATCTCAGTCCAAAGAGTATGTGCAGCCCTGACCACTGTGGCTCAGGAGTATTGGCCTCTGCACTGCAAAGGCTGCAGGTTCGATCCCTCAGGGTGTGTACAGGAGGCAACCAACCAATGTTTCTCCCGCGCGCGCTCTCAGCAATGAAAGAATGTCCTCAGGTGAGGATAAAAAAATTAAAAAGTGTGTGCATTTTAACATTTGCTCGATATTGCTAGGTTGTGCTATTTACGCTCCCACAACAAAGCATGAGAGAGCCTATTTCCCCACACTCTCATGAGCACTAAATTTGAAATTTGCCAGTCTGATACGGTATTTTATTTTAATTTTCTAAATTAAGAACGAGGGTGCTCACCTTTTCATAAATGCATTGGTTGTTCATATTTAAAACCTCAAAAGATGAAGCTTTTTGATGGCTGGGTTGCAGGAATTGGTAACCCACTGATGGAACTTGATGGCATTAGGAGACCTGCAAGTGACTCTACGGAGGTGATCGCGGTCTGGGTGGAAAGCTGGTTACTCATGAGGGTGGTACGGATGGTGGGGCGGGGGGTGATGTGGGTTAGGGGGTAATGGGGTATGATTTGGTAGAAAGAGTTCTGGACTTGAGTTCAGCAGACTTTTCTGTGAAAAATTGATGCCATTGCTCTTGCTATAAAAGGGGAGAGGAAATGCCAAGGAATCCAGCTCTGGAAAAACCTGGCAACCTGCAGCTTGAGTTTCCAGAGTGAATCATTTGCTCGTTACTGGGAAAAGGAGTTTTGTGTTTTACTTGCTGTGAATTAACAAATTGTGGTTTTTTTAAAAGCAAGCTTCCTCTTGTGCACTTTGATAGAACCTGAAACTATTAGGGGCCCTTGGAGGCCCTGTAATCCCTATAACATGACAGATGATGACACAGGCTCAGACTGCGAGCCTGAATTATCACAGCTGGCGCTGGGAACAGAACACAAACCCCAGGCTCCTAACCGAACGCCCTGCCCATTGTATCTTCCTAAGGGAGACATGGCAGAAATACCAATGTGATTTGATGGCTTTAAAAAATGATTTTCGGTTTTCCAACCTAAATCCACATTCAAAATCATCTTTATAACAACCTTGTAAATGTTGTTGTTGCTAAGCACATATGAAAAAACCAACTGGTCAGTGATTCATAGTGACAAACTGACACAAACTCATCAATCAATAAATCAAAATGAGGTACTAAAAACTGGCAAGAATAGCATGTGCAGCCCTGAGAAAGTATTATAATAATAAATAATAATAATAAATGATAATACGTTATTTGGGGGAGTGTGTGCAGAAACAGATCCTTTCATACATTGTTGCTGAAAGTATAAATTAAGGCCACCTCTTTTGCAATATCTATCAAAATTTAAAGGGTGCCTACCCTGTGACACCCAGCGTTTCTACTTCTGTTGGAGAAACACGTGCACGTGTGCATAGACACGTACAAGCATATTTACTGAAGCATTAATATTTAAAAAATGAAAACAACCAATTTACATCAAAATAAAATGATTAGAGAGTCATATATTATACTATAGCACTCTTAAAGCAATGAACTAGAACTCTGTGATTCAATGTGGGTATATCTCAAAAACATTCAAGTCATTGAGAATGAAGTCTTTCATGTAAACCCTCTCACCCTCCTAAAACAATACAATATATTTCCTATGGGCACATTATATGTATAAAAACTACTTTTAAAAAAAAAAAGATGCAAGGAGCCCTGGCTGGTGTGGCTCAGTGGATTGAGTGCCGGCCTGCGCGCCCTGGGGTTGCCAGTTTCATTCCCAGTCAGGGCACGCGCCTGGGTTGTGGGCCAGGTCCCCAGCAGGGGGCTCGTGGGAGGCAACCACACATGGATGTTTCTCTCCCTCTCTTTCTCCTCCCTTCCCCTTTCTCTAAAAATATATACAATCATAAAAAGAAAAAGATGCAAGGATTTCTGTCAAACCCATAACAGTGACTATCTCTAAGGAGTCAGGGAATGATGAGGATAGAGTCAAGGACAACCTGAACTTTATCTGAAATGTATTAATTTTTTAAAAAGGGAATGTTCACATATGGCTGATAAGCTTAAAATTAATTTTAAATCGTTAAATAAAAAGGAACAACTAATAGGACCGGCAGAATTGGTATATTTGGCAGTTATGTTCTATATTCTAGCAGCATCCTGCTTATCTGAATACCATATAACACCCTTGCTGGATAAAGATATGGAATTCAAGCTCATTCAAAGAACAACAAAATGTCATTCTCCTGAGTGTTATTAATAGCACAGCCTACTCAGGGTCTAATTATTCAGTGTGCAGTTTATACAAGCTCCTTTTCCCCTCCTTCTCCACCTTTCCCTCTTCCCCACAGCCCACTTTTCAAGCATTTTATTACTCTTTTGCACCTTAGCCAAAAAAATGCAAAGGGCATGGAGGGGAGGGGAGAATCAGTCAGCTCAGCCATTCCTCCTCCTAGATGCTGGAAAGGGCTGCTGGGGACAAGGACTGAAATTATTTGGTGAAGATAAATGTGTCTGACTATCCGTGGGTCTACAACTGTCCTTATCATAGAGGAAGTAAGGAGTTGTTCACACAGGGGGTGACAGGGAGGTGACAGGGCCTCAGAGTCATGTTCACCTTCCATTGATGTCAGAGTTGCCACAACTAGAACACCTTCTAAGAGGAAGACATTATTTCTAGAGGATTTTTTTTAAGGATTTTATTTATTTATTTTTAGACAGAGGAGAAAGGAGAGAGAAAGAGGGAGAGAAACATCAATGAGCAGTTGGTCTCACACGTCCCCTACTGGGGACCTGGCCCACAACCCGAGCATGTGCCCTGACTGGGGATCGAACCAGTGACCCTTTGGTTTGCAGGCCGGCGCTCAATCCATTAAGCTACACCAGCCAGGGCTATTTCTAGAAGATTATTGAGGAAATGCAAATATGGGTTGGTAAAATATGTGTCTGGGGTAAAAGTAGTTAAACAAAATGTGAAAAGAGAGGGTGTGAGGAGCACGTAAAGCTACTACCGCCACCACAATAATAGTACTAATTAGCACTGTGGTCAATTCTCTACAGGCATTATCTCATTTAATCTTCACAGTAATCCATGTGGTGGCTATTCTCCCATTTTTTTTAGACGAGGACACTGAGCAGTAAATTAGCAACTAAATGACTTTCCCAAGATCACAGTAAGTGATGTAGATGGCATACGGTCTAACTGCAAGGTCTGCTTTCTTAATATTATACTGTTTTATCCAACACTAGCAGATTGGTTTATTATATTAATTCTCAGAGAGCAAAGACTCAAGGCTTATACTCTTGGGTAGTGTTACAAATAGGTGCAGATTCATTATTATGTATATTTGTTTCATGGTCTGTCTTCTCTGTCACATTAAAAGTTCTGCTAGGTTTGGAAATGGATGTATGTTATTTACAATTGTATCCTTGGTTCCTAGCCCAGTGCTTGGCATACAGTAAGGCATTCTCATTTAATAAAGAAATTTTTGTCAAATGAATGAATTACTACATGAGATAGACTGAAGGCAGGTCTTGAATTCTGACAGTAAACTACTGCTTATCTACTGAATAAACGTAAACGCTTGAATCTTGCAGTTCCTCCTCTCCTAAGTGGAAAGGACTTCCAAACAATTGAGGAAGGCAGTAGTGTGACGCTGGTTTGCAATGTGAAATCCAACCCCCAGGCTCAAATGATGTGGTACAAAAATGGTAGCATCTTGATCTTAGAGAAAAACCATCACCAAGTCCAACAGACAAGTGAGTCTCTTCAACTGTCAATCACTAAGGTCAAGAAATCTGACAATGGAACATACAGCTGTGTTGCACGTTCATCTCTGCAAATAAAGACCAAGGACTTTCACCTCTCTGTCAAAGGTAACTCTCTTTTTAAATAACATCCAGCACAGAGAAAAACTCAGAATAGATGGTTGGTAAATATTTTTCATGACAATTATGATTAGTAGCTAGGATTTTCTATGGAGAATTACCCCATTCAAGGAGTTTTCCAGTAAGGATTCTAGTCCTTCCTTTTACAACAATTATGCCCATTCCATATAGGACACTGCTCTTTGAGCAAAGGTCCTTTTCTAGAACTATGTGGGAGAAGATGATGCTGGTAGGCTTTTCGGGAGGAGTATTTCCATGAATTCTTCTGGGCAACAAGGTTGGTAAGAACTGAACTTCTGAATTCATAGCCTAATAACAAACACAAGAGCAGTCAGAAACACAGTACCTGGACAAGAAAAGGAATCTCTAAAATCACGCCTAACTCTCAAGTTGTAACATATAGGCTAATCAGAAGAGGGAGTGGGGGAAAGTGGGAGGGGGGAGAGTTCTTTCTCAGCTTCATGCTTCTCCCACCCAGGTTTATCACCTCTATAATAATGGAGTGATCTTCCCTCCTCATAGTTCTTATTCATGCAAAAAGAGAAAGGCGACCTACCTGTTGTAGCAGATGCAGAAAATTCTCACGCAATTTCTTGGTCTAGGGCCAGTATGCTAGGAGCAAACAAACAAGCTGACGCTCCCATAGCTTGTTAGAACATTATTCACTTTGTCATTTGCCCACTTATTGCCTTCCTTGCCAGTTCCCAAGAAGCCAGCTGAACCCTGGCCAGGAGTGTTGGACTGGTGTGACCATAGGGCTTTTTATTCCTCCCCCTCTGGGGGGTCTAGGCCACCAACAGAGTGGCTGTCGGGGAGGAAGAGCTGCTGCTGCCCATCACTGTGATTACTGGCATGTTCAGTAATTTGTCCTGCAGAACAGCAAGAGCATGCCCACGGCCTACTTGCTTTAAAAACCAAACCCACAAATAAGCTAAGTACTCATGGGATAGAATCAGGGGAAAGGGCACCACATTGAAGCCTGTCGCTATTCATTCCTCCAGAACCACAAAAGCAGGGCTGGTGGGGCCTCAGGCCATGCCATTTCAACTGGCTGTAAACACCACACGGGATAATGGGAGAGTGTATCATCCCTCTTGGTTAAGAAGGAATCGAAATTGCACTGTGTCACGTGAAAAATACACAGCTTGTATGGCAAGCAGGATGCCAGCTTGACAAATTGGCTTGCAGGTGGGCAGAATCCTGTTTGGGGTGGAGCTCTTCCAAACCAACTTGTTTTTTCTCATTTCTTCCTGCTTTATTACTTCCCTGGTTGTTGACTGCCTTCACAGCATTAGCCCTCTGCTGCTGGTGGCCAGGTTTGCCATGAGCCTCTCTTGGTTGCATAGCCCAGGGGGGTAGTTTCTCAATGAGGCCATGCGGAGCTGGAAACGACATCACACATCTTTTTTCTTAAGTGCATGTGCTGGGATTATTTGACCTGTGAATTTGGAAGGAAACACCAGGTCTAGTTCAAATAAGAGAATAAAACAGGACAAAGGGAGAGATGCAGTTACACTCGCCAAAGTCACTTTTAGTAGAAGCTTGGAATCCAAAGTGAGCCAATGGTCAGGCAGTCGGTTTCGGCTTGTTTGTAGAGTGAAAGACATCATGTGTGTCTTCATTTTATTCAGCTTGGTTAAAAAAAAAAAATTCCAACTTGTGACTGAATTCTGATTTCCTAGTTGTCCCACTGTTGCCTCCTCTTCATTTTAATATCCCTCCTTGGCACTGCAAGTAGAAGGGGTCCCCCGAAAGGTGGAGGCCCTTTGGTGTGTCCCAGGGCTGGCAATTTAGCAGTTTCTCCAGAGGGTTGATGCACCACACACCCTCGTGAGAATAATTTCTAACAACCACCAAAGAGTAAGAGTAAAGGATGCCTAATCCATGTACTTCCCAAAATTATCCTGAGCAGGAACTGGACAAAAATGGGGAAGAAAACAGTTAAAAGGCAATTGGTTAGTGGGTCATACAACTATAGAGGGATAAAACCTATTTCATAATCTTGAGGTATGTGGAGCTTGGGCTTTAAAATTAGATTTATTTAAAGACTCTTCCTTCCCATCCTCCCCACCTTTTACCCCTCCTATATGGTCTCATGACCCTGTGTTCTTTATAATACTTATCTCAGTTTGTAGTTTTTCCTTGTTTACTGTCTGTCTCCCCAACAAGAATATGAGCTCCGAAAAGGCAGAAGCCTTCCATGTCTGCCTTATTTTTCCAAGGCCAGCCACAGCACCTAATACACCAGAATCATTCAGTAAATATTTGTTGACTACCTTTTTCCACAAATTCAGTTGTACAATATACAGTACACTCTAAATTCCTACAGTGTTATCTTGACCGTGATTGGAGTCCCTTCCCCTCCTAAGCTGGCGTCAGATTCTGGGGTCATTAAAATAACTGTTGACCTTAAGCACTCTTACTTTTGAAAGTTTCATCCCAGGTTGTATCAAACATAGTAAAATGAAGCGTACATTATGCCATATACTTTTCTGCTGTACCAGTTTTGAAAGGATGTTTATAACTTGCATATACTTTAACTTTTATTATAAGTAAATTATTAATGTGGTTCTTAAGGTTTAAATATTACTATTATTTAATAGTCGGGTTATAGTTGACACAAAGTTACATTTTATAGAAGTTTAAACATTGACTAATTTTGAATCATTTTGCCATTTTTTAATATTTTGGAGCCAATAGATCTTTTTTTTTAAGTTGTCAAATGTTTTCATTGGCCCTTGGAAAGCTCCACGTCCCAGCACCTGTGCCCTCAGTGCCTGATGGAGGACATGGCTCCGAGGCCACCTGCTGTTCAGAAAACCAGGGACTGAGATTTCATTGCCTGGTTGGCATGGTTGCTGCTGATCTCTCCCTAGTCCACATTAGGAGTAGGCTCTCTGTTCTTCCACGTCATTTAGAGAGAGATGAAAATCTTTGCCCGGGTGGGGAGCGGAGGGGCAGACTGGTGCTTAGAGTCGTACTTCCGCAAGGTCACCATGCAGCCACCTTCTATAGTGTCTTGTCAGCTGCTTGGGGTGTCATCACGGTATAGCTACAGGGGTCCCCGCTGTTTCTGGAGCCCACAGACCTCTCTCCCCTTTGTCCAGTGGGCTCTTCACCTTTTCTCTTCTTACTCTTAAACCTTCCCTCCCTCTCCCTCACTGGGGTACCTCCAAATATCTTTTGGACTTTTCAAAAGGCAGAAGAGACAATTGACTTTAGCCTACTTCAGCTTCCTGCATGGCAAAAAATATGGATGAAGAGAGCTCCAAACGCTCTGACTACTTGCTTGGGGCAGTTATTCATACGACCATAATTTGTCCTTCCACAAAGACATAGATTCAAAACTTGTCTCTGCCAGTTACTAGTTCTGTAACTTTGGACACACAAACTAATCTCTTAAAGCCCCTGGTTCCTTGCCTGTAAAAGGGGGATAATAATACCTACCTTTTGAGATTGTTGGGAGGATTTAATTAAGAGGATGATAACATCAAGTACAAGGCACCAGGACCAGGACATATGAGAAGTACATAAGTTAGATGCATACAAATGTTAGTTCTCATTCTATATGCTTACATTTCCAACAGACAGAGCTGCGACTGTACCAATAGAACCCATTATTGCTGCAACTGTGGTGGTTTTTCTGACGGTGTGCTTTGGACTAATTGCTAGAAGAGAAAGAATAATGAAGGTATCTAAGTATTCTAAGCTATTTTGATAAAAAGCCATCTAAATAAAAGCCAAGAACTAGCTCTATTAGTGACTAGAGTTAGGAGCCATGCTTGAACAACCAGGTCTCCCTACCATATGATCTAAAATGGAAGTTGCTTAAAGGAATGAAAATCGTTTGTGTATTATCAGTATAAAACAAAGACTAAAAGTGCATTTGCAATAGAAGACAAGAAGGACAATTGCTGTGGTGGTTGGGGTAGGGGACTTGGGCTGATTTGTCTTCCTTTTAAATGCCCCTTTGTTGCCACAGTGGCGCCTTTGGTACAATAAATAACTATAGAGAGGAGCATCTGCTCTAGACTTAGGGATCTGCAGGAGAAGGATGGCGCTTGGGCTCACCTTCAGAGCGGCCCCGGCTGTGGCGGGCTGGAGTTTGAGTTGTTGAATAGTTAACCTTTTTGGTTAGCATGATGCCGAGTATGCACATGCATGGGTTAATGCCAGACGTTTGACTCCACTAGTTAATCCAGTGCAAAGGGAGGCAAGTGTGGTGGGAGGCCTCAAAAGAAAGGTGAGTGGGGCCTAGCTGAGTTCATTATCCAGCAAAGGCCATTCTTCTTGAAGCACATGGCAACTGGGTGTTATTCAAGGCAACAATGTCTTTCAAGAAGAAATTTATCCAGCCTCTGATCCAATCCAAAGCATATTTTTTTTTCCTACGAGAAAAGAAAGGAAGGAAAGAAAGAAATACTCAATTGTGTAAGAATTCTGGAAGCATTTCTAATTAAGAATTATTAATATATCTCCTCTAGATTTAATAAAAATGATTAATGTGGCCAAAGGAATAAGACCTGGACCAGTGCAGAGGCAGCTGTATATTCTAGCCACTTCTGTACTGGTGTGTATTTTTCTAGGTTGGAGATTATCAGACATTTGAGTTTCCTGTCCCTTGAGCCATCTTGATGCATTCAAAATGTTGACCCATGGGCCTTAAAAAAGCCAGAAAACTCATTGCTCTTGTTTTGTTTGCCTTTAGCTCTGCATAAAGGATGAAACTCCTCAAAGAGATACAGCTTTGTAAGTACTCTGGGCTGGGGCCAGTGATCTGCCATAAGCAGCCAGGTAGCAGTGCCCATCCCGGGCAAACTCCTCAGCAGATGGGAGGTGCTGGAAGGTGAAGAAGTTCAGAGGAGAATAGAGGGTGGAGGAGGAATCTGTCTCTACCTACAGGAAGACAGGTGAGGCAGGTTGGAAGGTTGCCTAGAACTAAGAATATCTTTGGTCTGAAGCCTACTCTATCTTTAAACAATTTTAGGTTAATGCTTGTGCAACTGCATTTTATTGCCCCACAATGTAAATGACTGGGAGGCCCTACCCTAAGTGGAAGCCATTTGCTGTGTTCTCCTTCACAACCAAGTCAGAGGCCAAACTCCTCATCCTCAACCCTGCCTTCTCTGTGGTGCTCCCTTTGGTCTGTTGGCTCCAGCATATGCAAAATGGGCAATGGGGGGAAAAAAACAACCAAAGGTGTTCTTTCCAAGAGTATGAATTTACTTTTGAAATTTTTTCTTATTGTTATGATCATCACTATAATTAATTTCTTGGTTCATTTCAGATGAGAAAGCTGAGATGCCATCCAATACAGCAAGAATTGTGCACCAGGACCTCCTGATTTATGTAGCCCCATCTGTATTTATTGCTATTATTAAATTCACTCCTGTCAAATTGTCAGAGGTTATGAAGAAGTGTTTCATTAAGCACTTAATGGTAGTTGTCATGACTAATTTGATATGCTTGTGGAACAATTTTGTGGAGAAAGCTGTTAAGTATGAAAAGTAAGATTTTTGTTAAGTCTTTCCCTTAAAGGATATGTTAATTGAAATTTGTTCCAAAAAGGTAGGTAACTATTTACCGTTTAGAATATATTCTTCTAGGTAGGAGATTAGCAGATACGTGGGTATCACAAATCAGTGCAACACCACACACAAAAAATATGGGGCAACATAGAGTGATCAATTTTTTAAGTTGCCAAGGAAGCCCATAAAAAACATCAATTATCATCTACTTTCACTGTCATTTTAGAAAAGGAATGTTTTAGGGCTAAAAAAGGAAGGATGTAATCTCAGAATTTAAAATACTCCTTTAAATGGAAGAAACTTAGTATTATGAAAAACTCAGCATATGTCCTTATTTTTCTCTCTCTCTTTATGATTGACACAATCACAAACTTTGTGAACCTTATATAATGAGGAGGATGTGAAAGCAACAGGGGACATGGGCCGGACAGCATGTTTGTATAGAAGTATCCTTTGCTTATTTTTGCATAGTCATCTGCATAGATCTAGTTACTGTATTTCACTTATGAGTCAGACTGTGCTCTTCTCATATACTTCAATTTTAAATTGCAGCTCTTTTATCATTTATCACTGACTTCATCTGCTTCCATACTGTCTTCATTTTTCCCCTAAGAGTCTCTACTTTGCTTTCCCGCACAACTGGGGTGTTTTAAGAAGGGAGGCAGCCCTGGCCAGAACTGCCTTTGATGTCTCTGCCCTGCTCCCCTCCTCCCACTTTGTATTTAGGAAAAAAATGATTTTGTCTGATATTACAGTAGCTAAATGTGTCCAAGAGAGAGAAATGGGGATGAAGGATCTGCTGTCAGGTGTTAAAAGCCTCATATTGACATAGAAGAAAAGAAGAAATGAGCAGAATATATGAAATCTCAACAGACTTGTTCCTATGAGGAACAGGCATACCCTTCTGTTAAGCTTCTCTTTGAAACTTCAGCATGGAATGGACAGAGAGAGAGAGAGATCTCTGTGGTTTACAGATTTCTGTCTTCTCAGAAGCCCCAATTGGTTTTTGTGGGGAAGGCTTCAGATCTCATCTCCCATTCAGTGTTTCTCGAAGCAGAATTCAGAAGCCCTGTTAAAATGCTGTAAGGACAAGGTAGGAGGATTGTGAAAATCTGAATATTTAGACAATTAAGTAGAAGCCTAAAGACTATAAAGAAAAAGAAAAAGAACAGATCTCAGACAATGGTGTCTTGGGATACTGTAAAGTGGAAGAGGAAACAGAAAACATCCATATCTAATTGGACCTGGGATCAGGAGAACTGAGTTCCAGTCTTGGCTGTGTTACCTTGAGCAAGTCCTTTTTCTTTTCTTGGGCCTTTGGAAAATGAGTAGATTGGATTAGGAGGAGATTTAGGATTAATTTTCAAGTTAGTTTGAAAATTCTCAAAAGATTCCCACATAATTTAGTTAAATGCTGGAAGCAGTTGGCAAGGAAGACTGAGGACATAATACCTTTGCCCCACCTAGTAGAATAATGAATCAGTTTTGTTCCAGGACACGTAATAAGTTCTAGGGAATTACAGGTCATTAGGAAAAAGTTTCTTCACCCTAAGAAATTCAGTGACCTTGAACACTAGCACAGACAAGGAATATTAACTAGTTTCAACAGAGTGCAGCAATATCATAAATGGTCATTGCATTTCATTTTGCCTGTATTAAAAACTATATTTACTTTAAACTTAGACTAAAGCCTGACTTAGAAGGACATGACATTCAAAAGAAGCAGCCATAACCTTTTCCCAAATGTCTTTTCTACCTACTATGTGATACCTGAAATTCCAGCAATCATTCTCCTGGTTTGACTCTTAGGATGATAAACACTAGTGGACAAAAGACAGACAAATCTGGTTGCTCTCTCCCCCGGTTTTCTACCAATAAAAGCATATTTCATACTATTTTTCTCCTCCTGGGCCCCATTTTTGGGAAAGAACTGGTCTATCAAGCAAACTTTATTTAATAAATAATAGTAATCTGTTTTCCCAACTTTAAAAATTTTTATCAGAGATATTTATTTGCCAATCTGAATTTCTTTCATGACAACATAATTACCTTCCTTATGTAAATCCACCTAAAAGCAAAGAGATCTAGTACTTTAGTTAACCGGTGCAGGCTTTTAGTGGTTAACAATATAATCATTAACATTAGGCTTTTTGAATCATTGAAAACAATTTATAATCTACCTTCCTCACCAATTTTTACCCTTATCATCACCATCATCATGATTACTTTCCTGGGTTTTTTGGCCAGGGGTCTAATAGGGGCCAGGGAGATCAATGCGTATAGCAGCCTAGATATAAAACATCAGGGAGTAATGAGGACTATGGCAACTAGAGAGCACATTCTATGTCGAAAAGAGGACCAACAGATCTGATCCTTTAAAGAAGTCCAAAATATAGATTTTTATGTGTAATTCTTCTAATTAGAAAAAAAATTAAATCCCATGTGTCTGGGAATAGCTGAATCCTCTCACCCCAATGTATGCCAGTATCTGTTAGGTAAGTTATGACTCAGTGTTGATGGGCTTTCATCATCTGATGGAGATTTTTGTGACACAGCTCTAGCAGTTTTTATTTCTAGCCTCCCTCCCCCAAAGCTCAGGCATGATCGCAGGGAACTAAGTCAGAAGACAGTCAGTTATACTGTGCTGAGGACTTTATCTGCAACTTGATCCTGTAAACAACCCTATGAAGTAGTCATGATTGTCCCAACTTTGAGGAGGAGAACACTTGGGCTCAGAATGCTTAACTAATTTACAGAGAGTGACTAAGCTGGGATTTACACCAGGCTAATCCAAAACCTGGAGACTGGAGTAGGGGAGAAGATACCACAGAAAGGTCAAAGGTTGAATAATAAAGACAAACTTCAACTCTCTCACAGTTTTCAAAGAGTGATGTCAGTATCAATCCTACTTCTAGTGACTTGCAGAAAATTTATTTGATTGGTAGTAAGTAAAGGGAATTTAAAATAATCTTAGTTGAAGTGTTTTGAAAATGTTACACTTCTTGAGATAATTTGAGATATCCTGAAGTGTTGCAAGACTGGAGCTGAGAATTACTGCCTTAAATATTTTCTTGTCCTTCTGATGATACCAATAAACAAAGGGTTTGTTCAGATAATTTCTTATTGCAACAACTAATAAGATAATAAGATAATTTCTTATTAGCAACAACTCTAAAAGGTAGGTGTTGGAATCCCCATTTTATAGATGGTGAAATTGAGGATTAGAAAAACAACTTGCTCAAACTCACAACTAGCATGAGGTACAATTGGGGTTCAAACCCAAGGCAGTCTTACCCCTCAGTTCATGCTCCTTCTCTACCCTGCACTGTCTTGGGGCAAAGGGTGGGGATAAAACTACTGGAATGTGATTGAAGACATTTTACTGCTTTAGAGGTCTGGGAGGTCTGGGGTTTGTGGCAGAAATATTTATCATTCACTGAATATCCATGTGCTTTTCGTATTTCCTTTTCTCCAAAAGTCTATGTGGCTAGTTCTAGTCAAGGGGTCATGGGCAGATATAATGGTGTCACTTCCGGGCAAAGTAAAGCAGAATGGGTGCATGTTCTTTAGGTGCTTTCTTCCCCTGACATGGCAACTATGGAGAGATACTGGAGTGGAACAGAGCTACCTGCTCACATGGAAGTGAGAAATAGACCCTTGCATTAACCCACTAGATTTTAGGATTAATCTGTTACTGCAGCATAAATTAGCCAATCCTGATTAATATATGTATTTTCATTATAATAAAAATTCATGAGAAAATGTTACCTAGCTTAATGAAAGAATGTTTAATTTCAGGGGCAAATTCATAATAACCCCCATCCCTCCCATCAGGGACCCTGCGTCATATAAAATGCTGAATACCCTGCAATAAAATCATGTTTTCCCCTTCGACTAGACTTATATCTATTGACAACATATGACTCATATATTTAAAAAATTAGGGTCACAGTAGTGTAAGCCAGAAAAAACTAATTTGTCTTATTTTATTAAAAAATTATATTTAATCTCATACCAGTGACTATAGAAAAATAAAACCTATACATTAATCACAAATTCCTTAACACTCAGGTAATCTTTTCTCAAGAGCTTGTCTTTGCAATATCAAGGCTGTTATGTAGCAAACAACTTCTATCATGGGTAGTTTTTATTTACATAATATCGGAACATCTGGAGGATACTACTGAGATTCCCAGAAACCTGAGTTTTCGGAGAACTGTGTATC